CACCTGTCCTGCCATAACATCATTACAGCCTAGCAAAGCAATGCCCAACCTGGAACCAGATGGCGTTGACTATCTTGCTGAGGACGAACAGAGGGAGAACCCAGAGAGCACTGAAGACAGAGGTCAGGATGAACTCTAACCAGGACCACACACTGCCATGGAGGGATGGGTCACCTGGAGCAAAAACAAGCTTGTTGACTGACTGTTTTTCCTGCCACAAGTCAGGGAACCTGCCCTAGATTCACTAGCATACATACCGATGATTTTTGCTGTGAGAGTCTGCAGCAGTGGGATAAACACCCGGTAGAAGAGAAACAGACTGAGCTGGAGAGAGAAAATGAAATGCTACAATCACTCTTCAACTCATGCTTCCCCACACAACAGGCTTTTTAAAATCTGGTATTTGGCTTAGATCGTTTCATGGCCATTTAAAGGAAAATACACAACCAGGAAATGGAAATTAAAACAGGAAAAACAGGAACAGGAAAAGCTTCTGAGGCTTTGCATTTATATAACCACATTCAAGATATTTTAAGACTTCTTTGGGAACTGCAGACAGCACCCAAAGGGATTAGGAAAAGAGGTCATTAAGGCCACATAACATTTCTTTAGCTGACATCTGCAAGAAGGACTTGATCCCAAAATTGTACAGAAACTAAAAGATAGGTTTGGGGCAACACATGGTTAAAGAACAGCCATCCAGAAGTAGTGTTATCACGGAAACTGAAAACTTGCAGCTGTAATGTACTACTCAGTGGGGTTCAGTGGTGAGGCTGTACTGTAAAAGCAGGTTAAATATCTCACCCAGAACACTCCTCCATTCCAGGCACAGCACTGAAAAATCCTGCTGGCTACTTTGGGTTCACTGAAAGAGAAAATAAATGACAACGTCCATTACTGTTGAATAATAAAGGGATAGTCTGCTTTCACTTTAATTTTACTTTCCTTACTTAGCCAGAGTCAGACACACTTGAATGGATGCTATTAACATGTTTCTGTTTCCAGAGTGAAGGTATGTATGGTAACAGTCCTTTTTAATTCAATTCAATTTTATTTGTATAGCGCCAATTCATAACAAAAGTTATCTCAGGACACTTTTCAAATAGAGCAGGTCTAGACCGAACTCTTTAACATTAATTACAGAGACCCAACAGTATCACCATGAGCAAGCACTTGGCGACAAGGGCAAGGAAAAACTGCCTGTTAAAAGGCAGAAACCTAGGACAGATCCTTTGATAATGAGGATATATTACAGCTGCATGGATTCATGACTGAGGATTTTGTTGAAGTAAGTTTAGCACTTTCAAGCTGTGTAAACTCCTCCTCCTTTGCTAGCCTCGGTAGAGACACAAAACTCACCTATCTCTTATCTTAAGGTAAATATAGTGATGTGTTTGTTTGGAAGTTCTACCTAAAAGGATCATTTCAGGTCAGTCATGAGTTGCATTCCCAGCTTTTTCAGAAAAGCTGCTAATAAATCAGACACATTAAAATATCATCCATGAGACTCTCTGACTCTGGCTAAGAAAGGAAATCAGAAGCAACTTTTTGTTCTGGCCTACTTGTCCGGTTTGCGCTCTTCACTCTGTGCCCGTCTCTGTGCCAGGGCCCCGCTGGCCCTTCTCCTCCGCTGCTCTTCCCTTTTCTGCTGGATGCGGGCATCCAGCTTGGAGATTGTTCCAATCCCCAATATGGAGTCCTTGATCCCCTAGAGAACCCAGAGTGAGTAGAATACACATAAGGTGTTTGTTTCAGACTTGTAAAAAGTACTATTGTAATGGAGCTTTGAAATGTCTCAATTTCTCGAACACAAGAATTAGGCCGATACAGGTATTTGAAGGCAGATCACAACTGGTTCTGTACACAAAGCCGTGTATAGCCAGTGCTTCAGGTCAATGTTCTGTTTAAATCATATCATGACGATCACAATTCTTCCTTTTATCAAGCTGGAAAACCCTCTGAAACAGCATTTAGGCTATTTAGTAAAATGCTCCACAACACTGCCATCTTTCCTCTGCCCAACACTGTTAAATGGCCAAAGTGTTCAATATTACAAAATAAATAATTATGAAATAAATAATCCCTTTAACAAATTGTGTAAAATATATAAATGAAACGATTAATTGCAAAATAATTGAAGAAATTATTAAAACTCAACTCCTTATTATTTGTGATGATGAAATGTTTCATCATAACAGACAATAATGTTATTTCACAATAGACATTTATGTTTTAAAATGTTGCCCTGTTTTAAAAATGCCCCGTTTTTCCAAAATATCTTTTTATTCCATCATGGCATTCTTCCCAACTTATAGCCTTGACTTTATACAACAATAATGCTAAAGTTATTCCCAATCAAGCAACTAGGTGTACATTGTACACAGACACATTAACATCTCTTATAATTATTCCAAAGACAAACATTATCTTTGGACTTTTTTGGAGTATAGCCAGAAAGTACACAAAAACTTGTACATCATACATCAAACATACATCAGTTTATTGTTAATTGTGTTCACCCACTTTAGATCTGTATGGGATTCAAGGTTTTGTCTTTCTACATTTAGATTGGTTAGGATACATCAGTGTGTGACAATTACAGTCTTTAATCTGCTTAGCTGAACAATAAAACAAATAAACAAACAAACCTAAAAAATAATCTCACTGCTCACTTAAGGCACACCTGAACAATCTAATGCAATCCAATACTTATACTGGACTGTATTATAATGAAAGTGTTTGTAATATTATGCCACTCTCATGTATGTTAATTGTGTCGACATAATATTACAAAAATCTTTCAATATAGGTGTACATAATAAAGTAACCAGTGAGTGTATGTCTCTGCGTCCTCAAAATAAAGATGAATGGATCCATTAGTTTGAAAGCATGGATCTGTTTCACTGTCATAAACTATACAACCTGTGGCTCGTATCACAGCTTATGTATGAGTACAGTGTGTGTGTGTGTGTGTTCTGACCGTCGCAACATTGCGGAGGAAGGCCCTGACGCTGTCTGTCATCTCTGGACCAGCTGCAGATCCATCAACTGCAGAAGGAGGGGGGGGTGTCGACCTGGTGGTCAGCTCTCATGGCAGGGAGGGGCTTACCCAGTAACCTGCCACAACCCAAAACCAAGGAAACAAAGTGAGGGCAAGAGCTGGCAGGTGGCACTCTCTGTAGAAATGTACAATAACCTTTCAGATGCAGATCGAAACAGCAGAAGACTCTCTTCGGTATGCTGGGTATATTTTCTAGAGGCACATTCTGCAGAGAATTAGCCTGCAGTATGAGATCAATGTTGTTTACTTAATTTTCCACCCATGTCAGCTTTATCCCATAGCATTATTTATGCACAATAATTACATTTTGTGCTTTAAGAAATGTTTTTTATGTGCATACATGAAAATATAACTTACATACAGTATTTCCTTGTTATTATTTTACAACAAGGAACAATGAAAGTGGTCACATGCTTGACAAAAACACTTGGCCTTGAGACAGTTCAATAACAAACAGCTGTTTAGCACCTTTCCCCATACACCATGCATCTGATGTGACTTTAATGTTGTTTGTTTCAAACAATCTCTCGTCCACCCAACACATCACTTGATAAAAAGGTTATGCTAATGTGTGACTGATTCAGTCTGATAAGTCACTATTTGTTTGACTAATAAGTGTTTCCTTTGTCCTAAACACAACACTATAAAAACTATATCTGGTCCTCAATTACTTTTTTAATTAATCAAAAGTTTAATGTAGATGACAAAGAGAAACAGGACCCAGGTTATTTACCAACGTCGCGAATTGTAAAATGTAAAAAGAGGGGTTAAACAGGATCTGCTGTTATTAGCTTATCAACCTTGATAAGTGAAATTAGAGAAGCATAGCTAATGCTAATGTCAGTTTAATAAATGCTGCTATTGTCTGATTTGTTTATCAAACCCTTGAACTGGTCTGCATGGTAACGTCAACTGCAAACATCTCTTATTCTAACAAGGACTGCGTCGTAGTCAATGATACAACTTTTGTAACAAGATGAAAGTGAACATGAACTCAGCCAGTGTCTTCTGGAGAGACTGTTTGTGTAAGTTACGTTAGCAAGCTGACTCAGTGGGTTAGCTCAAATAGGTGCTAACACTGACTGCTCAAACAGTCAGTGTTAGCTGGCTATCTCTGGCCTGCCGACAAGTCTTAACAATTTGATAGGTGAAGACCCTCACTGTGTAACTAGTCTGGTCCGCATGATGCCTCTGGTCTCATAATCTTTGACTTTCGTTGGTTTGTTTGGTGCTCTGCTAGCTTCTCTCTCTGTGTTGCTAGCTAGCTGTAACTGTTAACGCTCAACTAATCTAACTGTTAACTGTGTGTTTTCCGTCAGGACTACACCTCAACACGCGTCTAAAGTCCGCGACAGAGCACACAGCTAGCCGCGGTACCTTCCTTACCTCATGCGACAGGCTCAGGGTTATGTTAACTTCGTTAATTCGTTCTTTTGCCCCTTTAATGTGACAACAACACCAAACAGTAACACTAACAGAAGCCAGGGCCGTGGAAAACATATTGCGCAAGCTCCGACTTCTAAGGACCATGGGAAATGTAGTCCTTCTTGTCGGAGGATAGAGGGAGATGAAGGGAACGTCTAATTCCTGTTCTAAATATGGGAAGAGCGCATAAAACAGTAGGCTAATTGAAAATGTTTGTGAATGTGTCACTGTATTACATTATTCAAAATGAATTCAGTTCAAATATAATATAATATAATATAATAACGTTATAATATTAGGGCTTTTGTGATACTTTGTGTCCCATACACTACCATAAATCTGATGGTGGGACAAAATGTTTCCATAAGTAGGTTTATGTTTTAATTGCATTATATTATTAAAGTGATAATTATATTTGATGCAGTGATTTCGTCATTCTCACCTATACCTTTATTTTCTGCAAAACCTAAGACACAGGCACACAGACACACCCTGTTAATGAGGTGTGTAACATCTCCATGGCTCTGCAGGGGCACTCCCACAGGCGGTGCTACATTCACACCCGCCTTACAGTTCATCTGTGCTCAGATGCTGCTGTCAACTTAACTGGACTGCTGCTTATGTCTCTGCAAGGGTCCTCACATCCTATCAATGGTTGTCTTGAGGATAAGAAATGTGCACAAAAGGAAATATGCACTTATCTGCCTGTGCATTGTTGGCTTCATCATGTACAGATGGCTCGGGTAAGTGCTCAGTATGATTGTTAAACATGTTTTAGCTACTTTGAGGCTCCTTGTACCTAATGATTACATTATTACAGTGAATTAATGTCAATGCAATTCATAGCAATGCTGCAAGTGTCTCCTTAGGGATATGGTGAAAGACAAAGTGATACTATACCAAAAACTGTTGCTTTGCTGTTGTTTCTTTTGCTTAAAAAGAAAAGAATGAACAACGGCTTTAACGGCAGCACAGAGGATAAAGGATAAAAGGAGGGAAAAAAAGTGTTAATCTCATCTGTGAAAGTCTTGCCTTTAAATTCAGATATGTTCCTGCTCTTTTGTGGTTGTGTTTGCCAACACAAGACATCTGCAAATTCCTATCAAGCATGTCATGTGGTCTATTCAAGCACAATGGTCAATGTGCTTTATTATGAGACAACATCTCCTCCAGCAGGCCAGCAGGGGGACGGAGAATGACCAGGAAGGTGGGCCTGAGTGCCAACTCGTCCCAGTTCACCCTGGAGGGGCAGCCCTTCCACATCCTCGGGGGATCCGTCCATTATTTCCGTGTGCCCAGGGCCTACTGGAGGGACCGCCTGTTGAAAATGAAGGCCTGTGGCATCAACACTCTCACTACGTAGGAAAACTGCTTCGTATTTGCTTTGTTTCTTAAGACTGGTCACTGGTTGAACGTTAACAGACAACAACCTGGATCTTTGCAGGTATGTGCCGTGGAGTCTGCACCAGCCAGAGAGAGGCGTTTTCAACTTCCACACGCAGCTGGATTTAGAGTAAGGAGTGACTCTTCCTGGACCTGAATACACTTGCGATTAATAACCACACAGTTTGCTGCTTATGGGAGTGTAGCCCATGTTCTCATTAAACCAAACATTCAACTTAATAATGTCCATATTAAGAATGAAAACACCTTGCACCACCTCTCTAGCTGCTCTAACAATATTATTAGGGTGTGTTGGGAATACTCTCTTTTTTCTTCTCATCATCTAAGCCCCAGTGCTCTGGGGAGAAGCTAGAGGCAGAGAGGTCCCACCTGACAACAGAGGCATCTCCCCAACAACAGCAACTTAGCAAGCAATTAACAGCACAGCGGTGATAAGTGAAGAGGGATCATGTGACGCCTCAGTTGTTGCCAAGCACATTTCACACACCTCAAACAACAAGATATAGGATGCTCACTGGGGGTATAAACTTTGTTTGTACAGAAATAAAATGCGTATTGATTGCCTTCTCTGTCTGGGTTTCAGAGCATATATCAATCTTGCTGCTGACTTGGGGTTGTGGGTGATTCTACGTCCAGGGCCCTACATTTCCTCTGAGCTGGACCTAGGAGGACTTCCAAGGTACTGCTAGTATTCTTTGCATATAACTACTTAAGGACAAATGTATAAACCATTGCATACAGAAGTCCTGATGTTCTGTGTATATATGAAAGAAGGATATAGATTTAAACCCAAAGCACATCCGATGCTTTGTTCAACAAGCTCTGACTAGTTTATGTGCCTGAATAAATGAATTAATTTGCGTGCAGTCTGTGGGTAAAGGAGTCGCATCTTGCTGTAAGGGAAGACTTGTCCAGTAAGTGAAGCTTTGTCCACTATCTTAGACGTACTGTGCCTCCGTTGTTCTTGCAGCTCTGTGGCTTTAGTCATAACTAAGCATCTTGTTTTCTGTCTCTTTGCAGCTGGCTCCTCAGCGATGGCAGCATGAGACTGAGGACGACTTATCCAGGCTTTACTCAGGCTGTCGACACTTTTTTTGACAAACTTATACCAAAAGTGGTTCCACTGCAGGTCACCGAAGCTGAAAACAAGTTTACTGTAGCTCCAGTTCATTGGATTTGTTGTCCTTAAAAATGTTTGTTTTTTAGTTCAAGAAAGGAGGTCCCATTATCGCTGTGCAGGTCGAAAACGAGTATGGATCCTTTGCGAAGGATGAAAGTTACATGCTTTTCATTAAAGAGGTGCTTAATTAAAATAGCTACCATATCTTATAGCCACTAAATCCTACACACTGGTCCTTTAACCCTACATTAAAACACAAATGTACACATTGAGGTTATTGATAGAATGGATGTGATCTAACTCTGTCGTGACATTGTGTTTTATTTTGAAAGGCTCTACAATCCAGAGGGATCAGTGAGCTCCTGTTCACATCGGACAACCACAACACATTAAAGTCGGGAGGTGTGGAAGGAGGTACAGTATATAATTAACACACACACACACACACACACACACACACACACACACACACACACACACACAGTCAAAGCTTACCCTGTGATCTCCTATCTTGAAGCCATCAGATCATTGAAGCTACAGAAGCTGAATCAGAGAGACATCCAGGATCTGAATGCTATCCAGGTGTGTATTTTACCTTTTTCACATAATGTCTCTGTGTGTCACTGTAGATGTGTATGATTGTGTGTGTCTTTTCTGCACTATTTGTCAGCCTAACGGCCCCACCATGGTGATGGACTACTGGACTGGCTGGTACGATGTGTGGGGTGACCTCCACCATGTGCTTCCCCCAGAGGGTAAGATAGGTTCTACCTGTTAATGGAGGCTTTTTAGATTAAAAAGACACCTTTCTACCAATGCGATCCTGGGCCATCCCTATACCTTTGTGTAGGGGTCCCAGGATTCCCTGGGAAATTTATAATGCAAGTAATCCTTGATGTTAATGAGTTTTGAGGCTTTTTGACACTGTTTAAGCATTTTTGACATATGCAGATTTTCTTATATACTGGCATCAGCCTGGAAAAACACATATTGGTAAAGTCACAATATTGGATCTCAAGGCAATCTTTAGTGCTGTAAACAAATTCTTCACTTTCCATATTTTCCTACTGCTGTACTTTTTGCATGAGGAACACCAGCTACATGCCAACAATGTAAATGCAAATGTCAACGTGAAAGTCAGGGTCAACCTTCTTTTGAATGAGTCAGAGTCAGGAGGTCAGCAAAAGGTCAAAAAGCTTTCTTTGACTTGACTTTAAAACTGTATTAAGATTTCCCAATTGCAGGGACTTTTATGTTTTTAAGGAGTACATTTGTTTACCGTGAACATGTTGAACTTCTTGTCAGATATGGTGTCCACTGTGAGAGAAATTCTGAGGCGAGGCATGTCTGTCAACCTCTACATGTTCCATGGAGGCTCCAGTTTTGGTTTCATGAGTGGAGCACTCCAGGATCCTTCTTACAAAGCACTGGTCCCCAGCTATGGTTTGTCCCCATGTGTCATGTGCTCTATTACAAACAAACCAGCGGTGTCTCTGATGCAAATTTACAAAGATTTTATGACAATGAATATCTTCCCAGTTGTTTACAGAACCAGCATTGACTTTAACACCCAGCAGGTGGCAGCACGTGATAATTAATCTATGTACCATTGCCCTGTTGTTCAGATTATGATGCGCCCTTGTCTGAAGCCGGGGAGTACACTCCAAAGTACCATCTCCTTAGGGACTTACTTTCTCGATACAACAGTAAGTTAAACACTAAGTTTAAAAGTTATAATACATGCAGAGACCGACCCCTTTGCCTGATCTTGTATTTTACTCATCTGTACAGGAGGAGACAGTTTTTCTGACATGCCAGTGCTACATTACAGGGAGGCTTATGAACCAGCCATCATGTACCAGCACATGTCCTTATGGGATGCTTTGAGCTTCACTGAGGGAGTATGTTTTATGTAAGATTATCTGTTGCCTGTTTGTGTAATGAAAGTAATTGAGCTTTTCAATCAAAGAAGTCGATTCATTTTCGTCAATTTCCTGCAGCCATTTAAGTCACTCAAACCCATAAATATGGAGAATCTACCTGTGAACAACAAGAATGGCCAGTCCTACGGATACACACTGTATGAGACCACCATCACCAGTGGAGGATTATTGAAGTCTGGAGACAATGTCCGAGACCGTGCCCTGGTGAGTGCTCATTGTGCGTGATGGCACAATCTCACTCACTCTGACATTATGCAGTATGGATGCAGTTGCCTTCTATTAACTCATTTATAATCAATAATATGTTTGTAGCTACTGAAAAAAACTTAAAGGAAAATGTTGACATTTTAGGAAATATGTTTTTGCTGCGAGTTGATAAAAAATGAGAAACTCACTTCAACTGTACACAAAGTATGCCAATATCTTGGCCAGGCGCAGTGACTTCCTGGAGACAACTTGTCAGTGTGAGCTATTAGATATAACATATGACATATAATGTGATTATTAGTGAGCATTAGAGGTGCAGATAGCCCCGTTGGAACCAGGCTAGCTGTTTCCTCCTGTTTCCAGTCTTTATGGTAGGTGAACTGTCTCCTGACTTTAACTTTATATTTAATGGACAGTTGTGAGAGTGGTATCCATCTTCTCATCTAACTCTCACCAAATGTGCGAATAAGTGTATTTTCCAAAATGTTGAACATTTCCTTTAAAATGACACAGTGCTATCAATGGTCGCTTTATGTTGTTGGTATGCCCACAGTACACATTTCTGCACATAAAGCAGACTAGGGCTGCACAATTAATCAAAATATTATCGTAATCACAATATGGCCAAGTACAATATGCAAATAGCAGAAGCAATATGCAAATCGCAAGAGCTGCAATGTTTTGATAAAGGTAAAATGTGTGACAAAATAGCTTTATAATGAAGTACTGTAGTGCTGCAGATATGCCCTGGTCTACAAATCTTCTCCAGATTTAAGAAAACATGTTTGTTTGGTACAGACCCCCAGGAATTTCACATTTCATGCATGATTTTAATAGATTCTTTTGTTAAAATTAAATTAAAAATTAAATTAAAAAAATGATGATTCCCACACAAACACATGCTGTGAATCATATCGTAATCACAATATCTGTCAAAGTAAGCACTATATGATGTTTTCACCATACTGTGCAGCCCTACAGCCCATGAAAGTTGTGTAAAGGTGGTGACCTTGGGGATGGTTGGCAAAACTACAGCCACCTCTGAGATATTTCATTCAAGTGAGGCAGAGTTTGTGTGTCATGTACTGTAATAGATTTTATATGACTGACTATATTTTTGTCTCTAGGTGTTTGTAGACAGAAGTTTCATTGGCCTTTTCAAGCGCCAAAGCCTGGAGCTGGCGGTTCCTGATGGTAAGGTATGGCTTCAAGTTGGACAATGAAGGCAAATGTACAGTAAATGTCATAACTAGTTATTGGATGTGATGGATGCTCAACTGTTGGCTGTTGCCAAAACTTGCAAGAGACATAAAAACGATCAATCCCTACAGGGACGGCGTACCTTAAGTTTATTGGTGGAAAACTGTGGACGAGTTCACCAGGGAAGGGACCTTGACAAACAACATAAAGGTGATCGACAGACAATATGCAGTTCATTGCTGTGCCTGCTATTAAATCACTCAAGCACACAGTGGGTAGTGTACAAGCCAATTTTGATTTGTATTCTTGCAGGCCTCGTGGGAGACATTTTATTAAACAATATCTCCTTGCGGGATTTTACAATATACAGCCTGGATATGAAACCCAGCTTCATTGATAGGTTGGTACGCTTTATTGAATCTAAAGCATTGCATATCACTTTCACTTTGCTGTAATAGTGTGTTTGAAGTGGATGCCTCATTTCAGTCTTTATCGGGCACCTTGGAAAACTCTCCCTGAAACTCCCAGCTTCCCTGGATTCTTCATGGGGCGGCTGTTCGCGTACGGGTATCCAAGTGACACATTTGTGAAGCTGCCAGTAAGTCAATCGAAACATATAGTTGTTATGCTATGGTAATTTTTTGCATGTGTGTTTGTATGAGAAATAATTCATGCATTGCAAAGACATGATATTTCCTTTGGTTCCACAGGGCTGGGAGAAAGGTGTTGTATTTGTCAATGGGCTGAATCTGGGCCGCTACTGGTCAATTGGCCCCCAGCAGACTCTCTACCTCCCTGGTCCCTTTCTCAACAGTGGAATCAATCAGGTACAGCATTTATTAGAGGGATTTTATTTTATTTTTTTAATGTGCTTATTTGCTTTGTTGCTGATAGTTAGAAAGAAAGCTACAGCTCTAATGTCTGTCCACAAGGATGTATGAAAAGTAGTTTATAGTAAAATGTCTTCCATTTATGTTGATTTCTTTTGGCTGGAGAATAACTTGAGTTCTGCTTCAGGAACCTTTTTTGGAACAGATTTTATTTGCCAAGAAGGCAGAATATTGTTTTCAACTCTGATCTGTAAAATAAGGTGTCATTCTGTAATTAAATCAAATGTTTGACCAACTGTACTTTTTGTGTCTTGTAAACCCATGTCGGTTGGGCACTTTGTGTGATGCAAAAATACAAGAAAATCAATCAATCAATCTGCATGCTAAGCTACTGTCAGCTTAGCCTTGCATTAAGACTGGACATGGTATAAACCGTTAGCCTATCTGCTAACAAACACTGTCTAACAGAAACTCTAAAGCACATTAATTAACATGTTATATGAAAACCACAGCGTGTTGTTGGACACTCTGGTTTCTGTACCATTTACCATCATCTGTTTCCCTGTTTCCATCTTTATGCTAAGCTAAGGAAACTGGGTGCTGGCTCTAGCTTCATTTGTAGTGTGTTTTAGTGTGTCACTACACAGTGAGTCAAGTCTCAGTGCTCTAACTCTTTCTTCTTTGTCTCTCACTTTTTTCTCTATATGAATAAGGTCATTGTCTTTGAGGAGCAGGAGGGGGACTACAAGGTCCACTTTGAGGATACGCCTGATCTTGGAATGACAGCAGACATCCAATGATTGCCATCACCGCCTGCATGGGCATTGTTTTTTGTATAAGAATAAGAAGATTTACAGTGCTTGTTACATGACTTGTTCAAACTCTCAAATTCAGGGATATCAATGTTGTTAATAGCATGGTCCTTGTCTAATTTAATACCTTCAAATATACAGATGTATACACTGATCAATATGAAAAACAGAGAGAGGCATATTTGTATGGGAGCAGTTTATAGCTATGTACATACAGTACCTTTAGTTACAGTGATTCTTTACACATAGAACAGAATTACCAAATATGTCCTCTTACCCATGGAGTCTCAGTTAAAGAGTAATCATTTCTGTTTGTGGCAGTTATATTTCAAATTGTTGTTAGGTTTGTATTGCTTGTGAGAATCATCTGCAGAATGCTGTTACTTAAATGGACACATCTTAGCCTGTACAACAGAACAAAAAACAGGCTTATGGGACAATCTGAGCGGAGGCAGGGGTGATTCAAAGGAAACACAAGCCGCATTGTATCAACATCAGACACTTATCTTGAAGGCTTCAGATGCCTGTCACACTGATAACAGACCAAACTTTGAATAGTCACAGAGTCTGAGAAACATTAGCATTTGTAAGCAGTGCCACTGCAGGTCAATGGGGTATGAAATCACCACTTGCAAGCCAGCCATCCATGGTGGGAATAATTAGATTGTGTAATACAGCCATTTGAAAGGATGCACATCCAATTTTGAGAGTAATGGCCTCATATCCCATTGACTCTCACAAGCAAAGCTTACAACTAACAAGTGAATGGTACCAGTTAGTCTGAAACAATAAATAATTCTGCTGAGAAACCGTCAGTTTACTCGATGGGATCTTAATTAGCTTATGAAGAAGCCTGTGAAGTGGACAAGCCCCTGGGAATACTGAATCTTCTCTTAAATATGAGTATACCTCAGTATTGTTACAGCATATCAGGAATAAACAAGAGCTTAGAGCATATGACTCTGAGAGAGGACATTGCTGTTACACTGTAATAAATCATTGCTCTGTTTTTGAGTGCATGTGTGTCTGTGTGCTCCTCATGCGCAGTGTGACAGCTGAGCATGTGTGAATGTGTGTTGAGGAGTAACAGGACTCCTAATTAGTGCTGGGTTCAGGGTGCTATCTAAATAGCTCAGTGTTGTACAGTACAAGTGGGGAGGGCTCAGATCCCCTCAGTGCAGTCTGTCAGTCAGTGCTGACTCACTTCAGACAAGGACCCCTTTTATTCCTCTGTGCAGCCCTGTGCCGGACAGCCAGCTCGCTTCAGAACAAAAGGGCCCAATTTAATGCTAATTGGATGGTTGGCTGGTGTTGTCTGCGCTCAGAGGGCTCTTTATTGCTTGCCGTGCCATCTCTTCCTGCAGTTTAAATCGTGTAACATCCTTTGTCTCAACTCCCCTTGGAGACCTCAGTGGACAAACTCCTTTTGGCGAATCCTACCAGCGTCTCGCATCAGCCTGTGCTCCGAGCAGAACAGGCCTGTTTGTTTTTGTGCAGTTGTGCTTTGATACTCTGGTCGGTTCACGCACATGGCCTGTGCTGCCTCTCGATGTGGACAGGTGTGCCTCCATTTCTAAGCTGTGTTGAAGTACAGCTACTGTGCTGTGTAAATGTTTTTGACCGTGGCTATTGCTTCAAGGAGCTCTGAGGTTGGTTTGAATCCAGATAGAATCCCATGGAGAACTGCCTCCCCTGGAACGACAACAATTTTAACACTTAAAAAGACCAGAAAACAAGATGCATGTTTGCAGTCTACTAATGCTAACATGTCGAGCATGTATAGTGTTAGTAAATAAGCATGTTATCATGCAACATTTGGGATGCAGGTATTTTATCAAAAAACAAAGTATTGGATTGACCTGATGATGGTGCTAGAGAAAAAGTCAGTTATTACAACTCAACCTGAGGGTGACATGAATGTCTGTACTAAACGTCATTTCAGTTGTTGAGACATTTCACTAAAAATCTAAAATGGATTTACAAATGTTAGCTTGCTGGAGGAAAAATCAAAGTTTTGTGAGGATTTGTGTCAACGAACACCTGTGCAAATTTTTAAATCCAGATACTATAAGTGAAAACGTTGACCTGCTTCTGACACTATATTCACCCTCTGGGCACTATAGATATATGTTCCAATCCATCCAATACTTACAGAAATATTTGAATGAAAGGTCAGGGGGTCACTAAAGTCCTCTGGGGAGCATGAATATCTGTTTAGGATTATTCATAAAGTAGTTGTTGTCCAAAGCAAGCAAGCAACCACACTGGCAACCTTAGAGCCACAGGACTAGTGTGGCTGAAAATATGTGTGATAAAAAAGCAAATCAAAAATATAGTAAAATAAAGTCCCCCTCCACTCAAAATCCTTCAAGTTTCTCCGGGCTCACTGAAATTCGGATTTTTAAGGGGCGGGGCCTACCAGCATGATTCGTGACATCACAGATAGTGTGAAAGCCGCCAGTGCACATACACTAAGAATGGACTTTACACTAAAGTAGGAGATATCTTGTATCTAGCAAAATTGGCATATTCATAGATTCTGGAATTTCTAATGAGGTAGAAGGAGTAGATGTCTTCTTAGGAATTTTTATGTGGAAATTATACTTTTTTTTTTTATGGAAAAAACATGTCAGACACACATTATTGATCCAAGCAGATTATTTGTAGGCTATATATGTCTTAATACATGTCTGGTAGAGATCTTTAAATTGTCATAACAAAATCTGCAGGAGACAATCCTATAAACATGTTATGTAAAGGTCAGACTATCTAAAGATCTATTTCAAGTAAGGTCTGTATCTCATGGTGCTCCTCTTTTGTCCATCCCCCCAAATAATCACTGTGTGGAAATGCCATTTTGAAATCTCTGCTATTACCTGTGTCAGATGAAGTATGTCATATCTCAACATTAGAGTCTGTAAATCCTTTCTTGCCCTCATTTACTAGCACAGGCTTCTCAGTCCGTGTGTGCCATACTAATACCTGCGGGTAAGTAGAAAGGGATGGAGATGAGCAGAAATACAGTCAATGTGATGAAACACTAAAACAGACATTTTGGCTCGCAGTGTTGTGCAGTAGAAATGTACTACATCATACTAGCTACACAATGTCTAGAGGCAGAATGTAGGATATATTTTAAATGAGCTGTATGCATAAAGAATCAGCAGTAAGCTGACAGTTCACTGACTTTATGAACAAATTGTTATGACAGCCAAAGACCTTGAGACACATCCTCTCACACTAGCAGCATTTACCGAAGCAGCTTGTTTTATTGCCAATTCACAGAGTTTGCACAACATGCAGAGAGCCTTCTTTCGATACCTTAGTGCAGTTAGCAGCTTTAGGCTCCAAGTCACTGAGAGTGACCAGCTCCTTTAATAAACTGCTCTCCTGGTAACCTCCCTTCACCCCACGCAACTTGAAATAAGCCTGAGGTTTAGACAGAATGAGGCGTAGGTTCACTGCAAACCCAGCCATGTCGATGGCAAAGGGCCGGTGTGGGTCGAATACAGTCTTCCAGCCGTACACCTTGCCCAAGGTGTTTACTTTAGGAGACTCGTACCGTAGGCCACCCACAAAGGCCACGGGCCACACTGACACCTTTTTGGTGGAACGCATCTGGTAGTTGAAAACAGAGACAGACATACAAGTCACTCATGTGAGTCATTTTAAATTCCATGAAGCCAAAAATTTAGATTTAGCTAAAGACACACAGGAGAGCTAAGGAGTCTGTGAAAGCATGAGGAGGAGGAGACATTGCGTAGGAGTAATTCAGCTCTATGCCATGTTTTACTTTCCTTACCTCCTCAAACAGCTCCAGACTATACGTGTTGTCATCATCTGCAAAGTAGACAATCCCAGGCTGACTGCTGTTTACACTGAAGGTCTCCCGAAGCCACCTCAGGGCCAGGTTCCGCTGTATAGTACCCCGAGGTATTCGGGGGTCCCTAGTGTCCCCCCGTACCTTATAGTTCCTAGGTGTCTCCACATTGAGGTGAGTGTAGTTGAGTCCCGTCTCCAGGAGGAGGCGGCTGACCAGAGTGGTCCTCCTCTGGGAGTCCTCCACCAGGATCCAGTGCAGGTTGGCCACGTGCAGCAAGGTGTTGGCCAGACGCGTCAGCTCTGCCTTCTGCACCGGCCGGCTGTAGGTGGGAGTGATGACGTGGATAGTGGGCAGGATGTCAGACCAGGGCGGAGGCCGGCTGTAGACATACTCAGTGCGCACCACCTCCACGATGTCTCGGTTCTGAAGTGAGCAGGACTCCTTGAAAGCAAAAGTGTTTCTGGAGTTGGAGCGACCATCACGTCTGTCATCTAGCCCGGAGGGAAAATGATTACAGTGTTGATAGGACCTTGTGCTACATGAGACAGTGTGGACTAGACGGCTAAACTGTTATTGTGTAAGTAAACACAGTCTTTGCATTGCATTTGATCAACATGTGACATTGTTCCCTGAGGTTAGAACACTCTGACACAGAAGCTTGCCATAAGTAACACAAGCACTTTTGTTAAATATTGTTATGATAAATATGGATGAATGGAAAAAATGTTCACAATCTGAAAACATCAGCCCAGACTTGAGTAGCTTCACCCTTACCCTTTCGAGTAGCGAGCAGAGGAGTGATGGTGCTCTGGTGCCAGACAGTGATGAGCAGTGTCCAAGGCAACACAATCAACACAATGGCAACGATGTCTCGTCTTTTCGGCATCTCCAGGGTCAGACCTGAGTCATGTCCCTACCTGCATGGGATATATAACGCATGATCTGATATGGTTTAAGGACCAGAGAGCTGTTTTTAGAGCTCGCTGAAGAGAACAAACAGAATGTATCTTATGGAAATTTTGTTTTAAATGTTGCTGGAGTTACATCTCTGTAATTATTTTATTGCATATCCTATCATATCCAATTACTGTTATAGCTTTTTACTAATTTATTAAATAACATAAAATACATTTTAAGGCATTTTTTTAATTTATTATTTATATATTAAGGGAACGGTTTCCAATTGAGTAATTCTTCTAGAGTGCTGTATAATTATGTTTAAAAATGATTTCTGTTTTTGCAGTCAGAAAGACAGATATGTACGGGTGGAGAAATTCTAAGTGTTTCACCAGACTCCATTCAGAGTTATCATTTCTAAAAGAAACATTAACTGCTTTTAGAGTTATATTTAGCATACTGTCTTTAGCTGAGCTGGTTGACTGAGTTTCCCAATCTGATGGCCCACCACAAGATGTAAAATGCATTTTGAAGTCCATAGATGGTAGCTCTCTGTTCAGCATCAGCATACTGTAGCTGCAAGGCACAAACTACATGGAAGGAGGCATTGTGTTAAAAAGCAGTCTCAGCCTGCTGAAACTGTTGCACAACAGAAAATAGGTCAGAAAATGCTCCAAGCTTTCTTTTTGTCTCGTTTGAAAGGATAGTGGTGTACTACAGAGAGCAGCTAATAATTTAAGGCTACAGTGCGGCTGAAAGGGTCAAGCCCTTTCCTGCCTTTAAACAGACAAAGTGGTTATGGATTCACCCTTTTGTGTATTCAGTTAAATCTTAAAGAACCCTGATACAGCTAAGAAAGTCTATATGTTCTTTATAATTATAAACCGTAAATTTACTAGATTTACCTCAGTGGCAGAGATAGCCAGGACTTCTTTTCTAATTTCCTCTGTTCCCCTGTTAACACAAACTAAAAACCACCTCAGTTTTTACTTGCTGTCTTTATCATTTTAATATAATGTCAATATCTACAGCACTAATTCCATCTTCACCCGAATGTTGTTAAGCTACCATTAACTCATCACCTCCTCCAAGAATCTTCACATTAAAAGTCTTGCAGCCTTACCTTTACAGGTAGGCTTTTAGTGTGAAAAAATATCAGAAAATGTTGCGTTAACAACAGCTTAACATTGATCAGGAGTATAACAAGAAAAAACAACTGAATAATGAGTATGAAAACATTTCTGTGTAGTGAGAATGACATGTACTATTAGAGTGTACATTATACTTTTACCGTGCAAGATGTTGAAGTGGGCTACAATTAAAGCCTGTTTTAAACTTTATACGTCAAATCGACACTGTGATTAGAGTATGGGAATGGCCTTGTACACTCCGCAGTAACCTGACGTGCACCTCCTCAAAAATGTAACAAGACGATGTGGCCACGCAGACCACAAAAACCATGACAGGTCGCTTTGTGTGTGTGTGTGTGCATTATCTGAGAATGGGAGGCAATTCATGCAAAACCCAGATGAGTTAATAATGCAGTTTGAGAATCCCTCTTCAAAAGTGCACACGCACAAACAGGCACACGTGGGACGCTGCCTTGCTGCATGACATGCTCTTGTCGGTCCCCTTGTATTCCCTCGTCCAGGCAGGGGTGGGACGAAATAAGGAAAACAGTCGAAACTCAACACAGTGGCATAGAAACCCCACCACCAACTAGATTCTTGGCGGTGTTATTTGCAGAGCAATGCAGACACACCAGCACACAGGTATAAATGCTCACAACGACAAAGGGCACCTGCGTAGGCTCGACACGGAGCCAACGTACAACTATAAATCAGCCTTAATTGCACCTTCCTCAAAGTCTTTATACTTGGGCTGGCCACGCCCCCGGCCATTATTTGAGATGATATGAGAATTTACAGTATGTCACAAATGGACAGGTCTGACTCAGGAGACAGTGTAGGCCATTGATTACAGGGTTGGCAGGTCCATTGCCGGCTCCTGCAATTCATACATCACGAGTGTTCTTGAGCAAGACAATGAACCCCCAAACTCTCCCTATAGTTTGACCACTACTTTGCATGTTAGCTCACTTCCATCAACGTGTGTTTGGTGATCAATGGGAGCTCTTTGGATAAAAAAAAACCAAATATATTATCTTACCTATGTTTATAGCCAACACACATGGTTGCTTCAAGAACTGATACTGGAGGCTCTGTACAAAGAGGCCTGGAGAAAAGGAAAGTGTGTGTATCAGTGTTTCAGTCAAGTTGATTATCCCTGCAGAGAGAAAACACACGCAGGATTAGAGTTTGTTTTGACAGCCTGTCATGTATCTCAGGATAGCTAAGCAGATATGTAACAACATTTTGTGTTAATAAAATCTGTTAAATGTGACCTCTTGGTCTTGGTGCGCAACATGCTTATGTCTTTGATTGAGGCTACTTAGAATAGCCCAGAGTGTGAACACTAATCATTCTATGATTGGGTCCCTGTGGACATGCAGAATATGTAGAGCAAATGTTTTATATTCAATGTGGAAGCATAAACAACTGTTTCATCTGCATCATTTGTGTACTTTTGGTATGACTCATTTCCAAAGGTCATTCATGTTTCAGGCAATTTACAGCCAGTGTTTACCTGGTTCAGCTGCTATTTATTCCATTAGAGCTTTTACGTTGATGAAAAGGAAATGCGGATAGTAGACATATCTCACAATGTACATGAGTGTTTATGTTCCCACTATGTTCTGATTATCCATTTGGTCATCTATTTCCTGCAGTCTGGAAGCCGCAGATCGCAATAACAGATGCTCCAACCAGTTTGTGTGCTTTTTCCCCCCTTCTCTTCAGGAGTCTCTCCATGAGACAAATCATCTGCTGGTTAATCACAAGTCTTTAGACATAATTAATCCTTGATTAAAAAGGATCAACCCCAGTCTGAGATCAAAGGTTGTGCTAGATAATTAACACATCAGGATAGGTTTAATAGGGTCATGTTTAAACAGCATGTCATTGATATAGACAAGCTAATTATCTACGCACATCATGTTAAAAAGCAATGACTCCCTCTCGACCTCCCATTTTGCATCCCTATTTTAAGGTGAATTCTGTCATAGAGATTATGATGAAACCACAATATAAATGTATTATTTTGATAAAAAAAATATATTTTTCACTGCATTTGTATACACATAGTGGTAAACAATAATGCTGATTTTATTCTTACATCCTGGGAATATTAGTGCACAGAGCAAGGGTGACCTATGGGCAAAATACCATAGCATTTAGCAGCATATATCTGCGCCTGTCATCTAAATTTGGTTCCATTTGCACAATGTGTTCAAGAGTTATAGCAATGTATGATAAATAACCAATGAATAAAATAAATGCAAGTGTTTTTTTGGGCGCTCATCCCAATCAAGCAAATTTGCTGAATATTGGATGCAATTCAAGTTACACGAAATGAAAATGCCTGAAAAATCCATGTATGCAAATATGTGCCCGGCCTACATGGGCAGATAGTGTTAGATGAAGGAATCAAGGGAGAACTCAACGCAACCCAACACAGCACAGTTCAGGAGCAAAAATGGTTTCTTTGCACTAAATCCCAGCTGTTAAAAAGTAGCATCAATCTGCTAAGTACTTCCTGAGATATCCTGCTAGCTAACAGACAAACACACAAACAAAACTTTCTTGGCGGAGGTAATTAATGATGAAAATAAAACCACAAACTAGGCTGTCTTACTGACAGATGCGCTGCAGTGAAACACAATTATCCCTGTCAATCAAATTCAGTGAGGTTCCTGTCCTGAAGGTGCAAGCAGTCAGCATGCCGATTGGATTACATATTTTCACTGTGGGACACATCCTGCACTGCAACCAGCAGCAGCTGTCTGGATATCTGGTGGACAGCAATGACATGACTGGACAAAAGTCACAAAGCGATGTTTGTGACATTGTGAATGATATAATAGTTGCATATGTCTGATAGTTTAGATTACAATATGGTAGATGATAATGATAATTACACTGTCCATTGGTGAATCTTTGTTACACCGTATTGCAATCAGCCACCCAGTGTCCACATCCAACCATTTGAAGAATATGACTACTTTATTGTTGATCATGACAAAATGGAGGCAGTGCAGACATAACAAATTTAGAATCAGGCAGTCACATTTTGGATTGTTTGACAGAGCTGTTCCCTTTGCAATATAAATATCTGACTTGTTTCTTTCTGCCTAAAATGAGTACTACATGTGTTTTATAACTGACTAATAACCTGATGCAAGACCTCTGCAACACAACTGTAAATTTACCGCTTATTCAACACTATACTTTTTTCATTATAGCTGCTATATGTGAACTGCTGCAGACAATAGAGTGCAAATGGTTATTTATTTATTTTTTGCATAGTTTCACAGTGGATGTTTAAAGCTACATACAGTATGATTGCACCATGACCAGAACTTATGTGAAGACTTTCATAACACAAGGAAGGGGGGAGAGAAGAAAATAACTGGGGTCACATCGTCACATAATGTGGAAATACAGTAGCTTCAGTTATGACCATTTTTTTGTAGGGGTTTCTAATTAAATCCCATTAGGTGTTGATTGTTGTTCTTTTTGACTTGACTTGGCACAATACAATATCTATAATGCATTATGCATCAGTTGCCTGTGTCCATGCACATCGCTGAAGGCGAACAGGCCTGCCCACTTCTTAATGACCTCTGCAGGGTGTTGATGAGTCAGCATACATAAACTTGACAATGAGACATAATTATCTATAGGGATATGATCCATTATAAGATTTGCACAATTGTATGCACCTTATATTTGATCAGGAATTAGTTAATCTTGATGCATCTACATAAAGCATTGTTTTCTTCTGTAGTGGTAACTCGGCCGTAAACATAGCCGCTTTACTGCGTGCGAGCACTGAACCCCAAAGCCAATTTAAATGTTTCCTGTCAAAACACCAATCAACAGCCTTTATGCCCCGGAGGAGGAATAATTCCCTTAAAATGACACAAACTGACCTCTTTACAGTTCCTTGGCATTAAACATTTAACTGTGACAGTTGTGTTTGTGCACAATGCTGTGTGCTCTTCAAAGTTGCGTCATCACTAAGCAATCAGCACAGGTACACATATGGACCTGGCAGTAAGGCTGTAGTGCTGGAAAACAGACTCAGGTATACAACACAAGATTTCTCTCACTAATGATAGACCTTGACTGGATCAAAGAGCCAGGAGTGTAAGGAGGACGGGTGGAGGACCGCGCCAGCCTCACTCAGCACTTAAAAAGATCGAAAGCTTCTTACTGTGTGTTTAAAATGTATGGCACAGCCCATGAAAACTATAAATAGGTATCTCTTGATACATCTCAGATTCACGTCTTTTAAATCCTGTCTCAGCTGGGAAATCCATACTAATGTTGTCTGTGCTAATGACAGTAAAATGGCAAAGGTTGCTAGGGGCTATGAGGCAGATACAAACTGAAGGCAGGCAGAGATCACTGTGCAGAACAAAAGACAGATACGCCTATACTGTGAGATCAAGATAGATAGCTTCAATGATGCTGACCCACAACACTTATGCACACCTCTGCATTTTGTTTCTGCACATTCAACCTCCTGCCTATTAGCCATGGCTTTGACTCTGCAAACTGTATCCAGGGCAAACCCTCATTACAGCAAAACGGCTCCATGCACATCCTCCAGTCCTGCAGGCAGGTGGCGGACAGAGTCACAAAAAAAAAATGTCATACTTAGTTTAATAGTAATGTCAGATAGAAATGTAATTTCTGGTTGCAAATAAACTCACCACAGAGAGAGATTATCAGGAACTTTGGGGAAGTGCATGTTAAGATTTTCTTTAATTAAATCCTCATTACTTCTATCTGAATCCAGTCAACTGTTATTAATCCCTGTGCATGTATCTGAATACGATAGACAGCTGCAGGCAATCTGATGGGTTACTGTTACTGATGTTTGCATTGTCCCTTTCAACTGGTCGGAGATGTAAAGGTTGAGCCTGGTGCCTTGGTGTACGGCTCGTTTGGAATTCTAATATTCAGGTGCTTTGGGATTTTAGGGATGAGCCTCTGAAATAGTTTTTCACTTCAGTACCTTTTCGTCTTAGCTTCTTTCCTTCAGGTGCTGCTCAAGTTTTGTGTTTTGTTATGCCAAATGCAGCAGAATGTCCCTAGTAAATGATATAGCCTATTTGAGCATTGACTCTCAATTAAATTAACTGTAATACAATGTTAATTTAATTAATTCAATAAGAAAATAAAAAATAATAAAGTGTACTTACAGAAATGAGTGATGATCCACCTTTGCCATAGAGATTAATCCTGTTAATGATGAAGGGGCTGATAATGTTGCCAGGCCTTGATGTGTCAGCTGTGATGAACGGAGGGATCCATCAATTCTTCCTGGGGTAGGACAGCGTGTTTGGTGCACATATGAGCAGCAGAGTTGGGGTGACAACTAGCGGATTTCGTTCACAGCAACCGGTGGTGGGTGCTATCCAATCCTCGGATAGGGTCGCGTCCTCAGTGCCAGCCCCTGTAGAGACAGAGGAGGTCATCCCTCTGGAAGAATGCTGCTTCTCATTGCAAAAACAAAGGCTGGGATTGTCAAAGCTGATGGCAAGGGGACGGGGCGGAGGGGTAGCCATGGCTGGAGGAATCGGGACAATAGAATAAATCACATGAAAAATGTCACAGCCCCACAAATGGAATTCTTACTTGGGAGATGAAGTGAGATTTGAAAATTGAGAGAGCCATGCATAACGTGGGGGTTGTTTATCTGAAGCATAAACAGCTATAATCACATGGTCCACTAGACAGACAGTAAGGGCATTTCTATTCATTTTGCTTTCATTTCCTGACAGGCATATGAAAGGAGTACATTCTGAATGGACTCTAGTGCTTGAAACTAATAATGGGATAGGGTAAAAATATGCCGCAGGTCTAAAGAACTCTACAGATGAAGCAGCAGTGTGAAAGGCAGAACACATCAGTAATTAAGGAGCTAGTTATAATTTGGCATGTGACAAAGTGCAGCGGCTGTAAATGATGCTGCCTACAGCAGGTGGTTTAGATGAGTGACTATGACCTTTCCAGCATGTGGAAGATTAGGCCAGTTGGAATAACACCTACTGTATTACTTTCATAGAAATGTTAATTTGTATATCAGCCAATAGATGTTTCCCATGTCAGACATGACTTATCACTGCAGGGAAATCACATTTAATGCTGCACTCACATCATATCGTTCAGAACATATTAGGAGCACCATTCATGCCAGAGTCTGACTTGTAATTCCGATTTAGAGATATTGTGAATTTCTGACAGTGATGATATCTCCCACTTGGTGAAAAGAATGAAAGAAGAAAGTTTCAACAAACCACTGGCAACACAGCTGTAAAACCACTATGTATAAAATCCAATATTAGCCCTGATAGAATCATTTCAGCCAATTTAAAAACAGTTGTGAGCTGTTTACATCTGGTTTGACATGTTAATGAACCACTACAGATATGTAACGCACTAATAGGTGCTAATTTAATTTTTATCTAGTGTGACAACATGGCTAGCAATGGTGTGCATGAGTCAGAATAACAGGAGGTTTTTCTGTTCTTCCTATTCTGCCGATATTGCGTGAATGCAGTATTACTACGATTAATGATGCTCTGTAGCATTTAAGTGTTACATTAAGCCCTTAGTAAGCCAGCATGCACAATACCACAGAACTAGCACTTCTGAATGGAATTCCGACCATCATTAATATTATGAGTCTTATTCATGTTATTAGTTACATCTGTGTTGTCAGAATGTACGTAAAGAGAAAGAACATTTACTCAGCAGTTTCCCAACAGTTAGTATTGTGTTTGAAGGTATTTCAGGAAACCCCACAATTAGATGATATTGTACCAAAATCTAATATGCAGCCAACAGTCTCCCACTTGAACAGATCATTGTTGGTGCTTTAAAGTTTAAACCATTGGTCCATCATTGATGCTGAATGGGTGAGTGACTACAGACTCTACCTGTATTGATTCCAAACATATGTCAACGTAGAGCTTCCAGCTGCAAAGCCAAAAATATCTACCCTTGACGAATCTGACGAGCTTATGTTTCATTCGATATCCACATATTTAGGTAAATGCAGCATGGCGGATGACACCATCGTCACACAGTCTGATTCTGTTGGTTAGCTTAAAATAAAAGTTTGGCACAGGCAAAGACTGGAAACATAAGAAAACAGCTTTTAACAAAGCTGCCTAATGGTAATTAACAAACTTTACAAGGTGGATTTCGTCACCTTTGGACAGAGCCAGGCTAGTTGTTGTGCTGAGCCTACTGGCTGCTGGCTACTTCATATTTACTGTATATGCAATGTTAAAGAGGTCACACAAAATGATGAACCAAGAATGAATTATTAACCTTCAGCTTTCTTCAGCTCTACTCAGCTTTTTAGTTTCTATTAATTCATTGTTTTAGTTTTCCACCGTGAAAATGTAACCTACTGTTTATAATAATAATAATAATAATAATATAACGTAATATATAATATAATAATAATATATCAAAGCTGTGTATTGTTTTGAAGCTTTTCTGCCCCCAAGTGATTAATAAATCAATCAGTGTGAATGTTAAAAGACCAGTGTGGCATCTAGAGATGAAGTTGCAGATTGCAACTTCCTGAACACCACTCGCATCCATATTTGACAACCTTGGAATAAGAATGGGCTGAAATATAAAGGAGAAACGTGAAAGGCCCTATCTAGAGTTAAATAGGTTTGTCTGTAGATGTATTATATTATCTATAGAGTATATGTAACAATTCACAAACATAACCTAACCAAGATGTTTTTTGTGCCTAACCCTAACCAAATCCCAACTAATAAGTTGTTAGATGTTACAAACATGCCATAAACTATGGTGAATAGATAGTCCTATGTAGGAGGATTATCCAAATAAAGTGGAACCAAGTTAGCATGTATCTAATGGAATTCTGCTTCTTTCTAAAGGGGTCAGGGAACAGATCAGAGTGCCAGACCTGAAATAGTATTCGTCCTTACACTTCAACCTCTACCTCTTCTGTTTACTTCTCTAGTCCTGCTTCCTCTCAACCTCAATGTCCTGTTTTTTCCTTGAATACCTTGGGCACCATGATGTTTTATCATTACCCCAGTATCAAATCATTCAAATCAGTCATCATCAGTATTTTTTTTACATATGATACGTATGCACCTGATCATCAGTTTGGGTTCTCGTTGTCTGAGTCAACCTTATTTTCCACAGGAAATATGCTGTTTATTAATGCATATGTTTGTGGGGAGCAGAATAAGATGGTGCTTATAAACAGCCTTTTATAACCAAGAGTATTAGCAGTGTTATGATCTGCAGTGCTATTTGAAATAATGTGTGCATGTAAACAGATTAATTGTAAAAGAATAACTGCTCTCAGCTCAACACCTCTTCTCTGACTGGTGTCTTTGTGTCCAGCAGAAATCCAACACCTGCAATCGACCGACGGAAATCATTTCTAAACAACTTGTCGTATGCTGCCTTGTCCTCACATGACACCCCAAAGAAAGAATATAGCAGGATATTTGTTGATAAAACATTTTTAGTGAGATAATATAGACGTTTTGACTCGAAAAAAAAAAGTGGGATAATTTTGCTCATTATTACATCCACTATGTAAGAATGTGACAATATCCGCTGATGGTTCTCCTTGTGCGTTCACTTTTCTGTTACTTAATGACTTCCATCAGTCCATCAATATTCTGTCTGCATCTGTGCTGAGGCTCAGAGAAATGCCATTCAGTGTTTGACAGACGGGTGATTAACGAGACGGTGATGCAGTTTCAAAAGTGTCACATACAGAAGAAGTGTAGGTGTGCTGTTAAAATGCAAATCATTAAAATTCACATTCAATTAATGGATCCTTGAACTGACAGTGGCAATACTGATCTGTATGTGATGAAAACACTGTGAAGCATAACTCCTGTATTTTCCAGTGCGATGGGTCCTTTGAAAATAATCGGGGTGATAATTAAAGGCTTTTCACTGCAGTGGCTCTATCTCTGCAAGTGTAATTTTTCTCACTTTGTATTTTGTAGATAAACATCTTGGTTTACACAGAATATGATACAACATGATACAATAAGTGTTGCTTTTGGAACTTGGCTTCAGTGTTGTTTGAGAGGTCAGGAGGGCAACTCATATCATGTGAGCTTCACTACTTTTGGCTTTCTTTGGCACATTAAGCCTTAACATTATTCCTTTCTTTGTAATTCAAAGTATGGGTAATTGGCTTTGCTAGAATTTGGTCATAAATCAAAGTATTGGACAAAATACAATTTTGAGCAGATGGTGGCGCGACACCAAATGTCAGAAGATTACCAATATGATTATAATTCATCCTGACGGGTACATGGATGTGTGCACAAAATGTATAGCCAATAGTTATTTCACAGAAAATATCAACCTGATGGTAAAGTCAGGGGATCACCAAAGTCAGCAGATTTTACCTTCTGGGCAGCATGAGTGTCTTTACCAAATGTCATGGCAATACACCCAGTAGCTGCCGACAGAGCCAAGCTGCTAGTCAAGCTGATTTAACACTGATACTTAGTGTTGAGGGTAAATATTGCGTCTTCTGAGTACATTCAGTGACGCTCAAGATTCTCATCTGGCACAATATTCCTCCCATTCCACCACTCAACAGTAGTTGAGTATCTTATCTGTCTAAATAATTATTGAATTAACTTGTCAATCTCAAACTAAACGCTTGCCTTCCTGTATTTTGGTGCAGCATTGTTTCGACTACATCCTTTTTTTCATAAGGAATGATGATGTTAAGGTAAAGGAACAACAAAGAAGCAGAAGCACTGAGGTGTTGATGACCTAATCTCAGAGTCGATGGCAACAAGGTTACCACTGTAACACTGATGACAGGTTTGACACTGATCTCAAACATCTTGATATTTAGGAATTGTAGCCAAGCCACCTTCAACGCATCTGGTGCAGCGGCATCATGCTGATTTCAGTCTGACTTTGATCATGAATGCAACTTGTAGACATTGTAGAGCCCTCCGCTCCACACCTTCTACTCCTCCTTACACACACACACACACTTGCTGCATAAAAGTAGCTTGTATTCCCAGCATGTCATTTGTCAAGAGGACGCTCCAGAATGAATGAATTTGAATTCATTATCAGTAGTCATCATGCACTCAGCAGCCATGTAAGATGTTTGATATTTGGTGGTCAATACACTTTCATGGTTTATGGATGAAATATGGGTAAATTCCATCAATATAGAGTCAAACTGCCATAATACCTGAGAAATTAAAAAAATATATAGTGCGTAAGAGTTAGGTAAATAATTTGATATGTGGGCGTATGCAATTACAGCTTTCTACTGTGAAGATGTTTACAAGTACAGACGGTGTGAAGTCTAACATTTCAGTGAAAGTGTTAATGAGTACCAGATAGCACTGTGGCAACAATGCATTTCACAGCTCCGACAGAGAAAATCTTCCCACTTAC